AGTGCTTACGTTAAAGTTGCGAGAGCTTAATTACGCCTAGATCTCCGATATCGGTTACCTACGACCGCATCGATAGCCATGCGAGCGGGCTCACGTATCATTAAATTAGCATCCTCGCATTATATTTAGTTTTATCGGGGTCTAGTAGAGTTATTTAGTCGATTTAGCGAGTTTCGGGTGTGGTTAGTTTAAGGAAAGCCTTTAAGGCTATGCATATATGGGTATAGCTATGACTCTGATTCCACCTCTGCTAGGTAACCTAAAGGCTTGGGAGTATTTTTGGTAGAGCTGGTGTCGCTCGCTTGATACTCTAATGGTCTAGAAGAATGGTAGAGCAAGTGGGACGAGAGGTATGAGTCTGCTGAGATGGTTAACTTATGCCTCTGGAATAGGTATGATGCTGACCTATACCATGAATCTGTTTAAGTGGCTTTGCGCCTGGATATCGGGATATCTGAGAAGATTTCTAGCGGAGCCTTTTTTTGTTAGCGAAGCTACTAGGTTCTATTGCGTGGACTATGTGTCTGAGCTGATCTGTTAGCCCTTTACCTAAATTTGAATGGCGTCGAGAGGGGGCGATAGCTTAGAAATGTGATGATGGAGAGTGGTGGGAAGAAGCCGTTGTTAATTAGTCCTAGTGGCTTTGTTCCTCCTGCTCTGGTTAGAGTCTTGGATCGCTGCCTAGAAAAGCTTGATTATGTCTTTTGTTGGCGACCTTATTTTTTTCTAGAATGAACCTAGAAAAGGAACTGTACTTTGAGCATAATTGGATCTAAACCTTGATATATAAGCTTATTTTTAACTATGAGTCGGTGGATCTACCTGTACTAAAAATGGCGCTAGAGGCCCTAACGCCCGAAGACGGCATTTAGTTTATCTATGGCCACTAGAAGTTTGAAATTGGAATGCTACCGTTGAATTGCGGGTGGATAACCGTGATTTAACTATAGCTAAAATATGGCCCTGTGGTGCTAGCGTATTAGGGATATAACCCAGAGGGGGCGGGCCTAGGAAGTCAAAAGCCGCCCTGAAGAATCTTGAATGCCTTTCTATTGTTTGATCTATGAAAAAGTGGAAGGATAAAATGGGTCTTTATCTTGCTAAAAATTGCATTAAGGCTTAGGTAAAAGAATAAGACGGGCTAAACTTTAGATTTGAAGTTAGAGTAGTTTCTTTACGAGACGGTGGGTCTATTGGATGGCTGATTCCCGTAGTGATATGCTGCGTTGATGCTAAAAATCAGAGTGAAGCGGATAAAAGGTCGATGTCCTTATGGCTCTTAAGTAGTTTCTATTTACCTTTTTTAGTTTATTATTAATTTGAATTTATGGCGGTGAATATCTACCGTTTCGCTTCCTTCTAATGAACTTCCTACTTGGTTCTGCTTTGTAACTTGCTAGTGGCTTTGCTTTGGCATCTCGTGACCTTCCCTCGGTTGTCACTCTCCAAATAACACACTCTATAAGTAACCTAAGCTGTAATGATCATAAAACCTCACATAGTTGCTGTCTTAAGGTCATCCTTGCAGTTCCAGTATGTGCAGGCAGTCGGGCTCTATACTTCTTGAACGTCGGTCTCGCTCAACTAGGTGACCTGGCTATTGGCAGCCCTTAGGGCAACGTGTTGCTCGGCGGTTTCGGATCCGTCGTCTATGTACTGGTTCCTTGGCCTACTTGCTGGCTCTTTATGCGCCTTAAGCTGTGGTTATAGACTTGCGAGTTGGATGGGTGTGTTATATATATGTCTCTCTTTTCTGAGCCCTTGGTGAAAATGGGGAATTGTATGAGCTTATGTCCATGGAGGTGTGCGAATTTTCCATTCGGTAATCTTGTCCCTGTCTTAAGCCTGTCCCTTAACGCCCAGTGGTGTTTACGCTGTGTTACCCCGCCGAAGCTCCGGGCCAATCCTCTGTGGAGGCGGCCTGCTTGGGCTCAGGGGGATAGGAGCAGGGGGTATTATAAGCTCTTTGGAGTGGAGTCTGCCATTTAGTGGCTTTTGCATCCCTGTCAGAGAACATGGAGTGGAGTCGTCCATTTCGTGGCTATGACATCTCTGTTAAAGAATATGGAGTTTATAGAAGTCTTCCGCGTGGCTACATCACGTTACTATTGGTGAAGGGCGATCCCTATCCTTGATATTGGATAATGCGCTAAACGATGCGACGTATCTGTTTGGGCGGCCAACGTAACCTTCGTAGTACGTCAATAGGTAATAATACGCTATCGTGCATATTGCCAATTAAAATCCTGGTGAATACTATAAATAGATAAAAAATGGGTGTGGGAAAGAGTGAGGCTCGGTGGCTGAGGTTATTAGCTATATACTAAGTTTGTCCCGGTTGAGGAATCGAGAAGGCACCTATGCTGAGTCCTAATTGGTTTGCTCAAGAGAAAATGGCAGATACCCCTCTGTGAGGGGTTTAGTTTTGTTATTATGCTTGGATAAGAAGCAGGCTAACACAGTCGCGGCCGTTCTACTCCCTGCATGAACAAGCAACAGCAGGGCTCTTGGGCTCTTCCCCATGATAATTGTCCCGGCTTCTCTTGTTGGTCAAATGTGCAACGTAGGTCAGTTGGTCCTCAACTTGTAAGTTTCTTGGTAGAGGTCTGTTTCCCCATGGGCTCAAGGGGGTACCTACAACTAAATTCGCATTACTTCCATGACTATATATTGCAGGCGTTCTCCTCAGCCCACACATACTTCTTATTATCCTTAACCAACTTTAAATCTACACGATAAATACGCTAGATATCCTCTATTAGCACCCTAATAATTATATACACAACGAACGCAAACGGTCGATTATCTATAAAAGCTGGACTAAGAAGCTTCCGGCCACTGCCAAGGAGCAGATAATAATCTATACCCAACTTATGAACGACGGTCGAATCTGGGCCGACTGGTCTGCGTTCTTTCCTAAGCGTTCTGATGACACGCTCAGGCGAAGCCAGCCTTCTTTCTAGCCTAACCCTCGGGCTGGATGGAAACTTAACACTTAGGCTGACATAGAAACCTATCTCTGCTAGGAGATTGTTGCACCTATTCTATCAAAGTTTGCTCTGTACCCACCTGTCACCTTGCAATGCAAAGAGGATCGTGGTGGCGTAGTTATTGACTACTACTTTGTCTAGAATGGCCGCATCGTCCTCATTGGGGAGATAAAGAGGAACCTGATCCGACCATCCACTATCCTCGATGGTAGCTTTGAGAAGAAGCCCGACTAAGTAAAGCTCCTGAAAGAGCTCCGAGGGTATGCGCTTGATACCACCGTCCCCCTTATGTTCCACATCTGATAGCTGTTTGCAGATATGCCATTAAGTGTGAATGTCCTTAGACGTTTTGCTTTGACGGCAATTCGTTCCTAGGGTTATAATTTAGAGCTTATGAGAGAGAAGAATTTAAGAAGTGCGACGTCGACTGTTGGCTTTTCCCATGGACTGAGACCGATAGCGAGCGTCTTGGCTACCCTATCCGGGATGTTCTCTATAGGATGATTATCTAAGGCATACGAAGATGCCAGAGCGACGGGTTTCCCCTACTAAGCCTTAGCGGCTTGATGGCCTATTCCCGGGTGTTCTTTTCTGGTGAGCCCATATGGCCAACAACTCATAGCAGAAGACGAGAGCATCCGATGGGATACGAGAGGGTAGAGACTAATAGAGGATATCTTTGCTGGAAACTATATGGGTATTTTGTGTTATAGCCTAATACTCTGGTCATGACTGACTCATGGCCCTTATGGGAGGAACACAATAGAGTCGTCCCGGGTATAACTACCCTAGATCTAGAAGTAGATATTTATAGTGAAGACTAGGTAGTGGCTTGGTTTGCTGTACGACGCTGTTCTTCTTGATGATATTAGTCCTGATAATGTCCATCACGGCAAAGGAAACTTTATCCCTTTTGCCTTTGAGTCTATTGGGATTCGTTTTGATAGCATCGAGGATATAATGGAGGAAGGAAACATGGAGGACCACTGGCTATAGGGTGTACATAGTTAGTGGTTATTTGATTCCGTGTTCTTATATTTTAACTCACGTCCCTGCTTTCGGGGTACCCACCGATCTTTGTCACCTAAGAAACAGCCGCACCAGAGACTGGTGTAAGCAATGAAAGCAACCCGGATATAAATTTCCTATCCTAATTTTATGACCTAACAAATAGAAAAGAAAAAAAGAGAAAAGAAACACCACAAAACCATGACTCATCTAGGTAATAATAGCCCTTAGCTTGATTTCCAGGACAAAAAAAGAGAAATCATCAAATGGCGGTCCTTGATCATCAGTCCCCTCGCTTGAAAGCCTACACCTCCCGAAGCAACATCAAAGACGAAAACCAAGACAATGCAGGCTTCAGAAGCTGCGCTATCACGCCTCCTGTTTCCTATTCTCTTATGTCAAAGCCTTCGACTTATGAATCCTCCAGGCCTCTACGCATTGTTGCTGGTCGGTCGCGCTTAGTTTTGAAAAGTCTTCGGCGTCTCGCAGTTCAAGCTAGTCTTCGATAAATGCCGCTTTGGCCTCCCTGAGATTAACTATGCCCTTCGTCCGCCGCTGGGGGGACACGGTGGACCTGGGGGACGGCAAGAATTGAGCTGGTGAAGATCCTCTATCGCTTTGCGACAGCCCTCCCCTGCTCCGTGATGATTTGCCCATGCGCCTTGACGGCCGGGTCCCGCCCCTCGCCATGTTGAGGTCCCCGACCAGAAGGGGAACGGATGGCGACCTGCTGATCGCCCTCCGCCGGCCCTCCATGGCCGCGATGTACCTATGTTGAGACTCGACCGCAGCCTTGTAAATGTGGATATCGGCTAAAGACTTACTTCCGATTATGTTTTGATAAGCGGTTCGCGTTTCCTACCTCTTCTCCTCCTTTCTATCTATTGTCTATCCCACGAGAACGTAAGTGATAGTATGGGTGAAAGGCTCGTTATATCCGGGATCGATGAGCTCCAAGTCGTGCTCTAAGTCACCCGAATTCAAGCCCCGCTAGGTAACTCCCTAGATCCTAGGTGCTTCCGCATTGGGATAGTGGAGTCTGCCGATACCTGGCAGTGTGTCTCCAAATCTGTTCTTCGCACTTCCTACGTTCTTATCTTCTGGTGGATTTTCCGCATAGCTACGGGGGAATGCATGGTTCTCTAGGCGATAGGTTGCTGAATTCTTTTTCCCATATATGTTGATGTACTTGCGAAGGTGCTTACTAAACTATCCGACTGTCTTTATACCTTCTTCGCTCACGCCACTTGTTGTCGGGATAGTCAATAGCGGCTTGCTATACTCTGGATCTTTAAACTCTGTCGTTTCATTATTATCTTGGAGGAACAAAGATCCATTCGGTTCGTCAGCCTCAATGGACTCTATAACATTAGGCCCTATCCCGCCGCGCCCTGTCTCTGGTTCTTGTAGTTGCCCTCCTTTATCTGCCGCCCTAGGCTCGTGCCTAGGCTCATTTTCGCCGTCGCCGCCGAGATTTCTAGGTGCCTTTGAGCTATTATCATTCTGGAAAGATGATGTGCTATTGCCGGACGGGGGCCCTATTGGGGAGAGGCTACCGTTATTTCCATTCGTTCCTTCTAGACCCGCATTGTCTTGGAGAGTGTCTCTTTTTTCGTTTGGTCCCTGGTTAGGCGGGTCTATAACCATCGACTCGGCAACCGCACGGAACGTAGTGACCTCATTACGCATGCCATTAATCTCGCGTTGTTTTTCTGGACTTGCCTTATTATAGGCTGTAGACGCGCGTTCTAGTGAGGCCTTTTTTTGCTTAAGCTGTTTTTGTAGATGCTTCGATCTCGTTATTCTCGCACTCTTAGCTGAGGGTACTGCCGTGGGCTTCTTTTCCTTTCCCTTGCTAGGTGCCATGGCTATTGCAAATGAAATGACGATTTAGACGTTGGTCACTGAGGGACTGCCTTGCCTTAATATACCTCTCTTGCTTCCGTCCTTGTTAGCTACCGAGGAGTGGGAGGCGTCCGTACTCGGACGATTACTAGTAGTGAACCACTGCTGATTGAAAAATAGATAATGAAGCTCAACTCTGATAGCTATTACGAACCGGCGCAACCTTGTAATATCTAAGAATGGATTTTTGATATAAATGAGTATGAAATATGATTTTTTTTAGTCTCTTTGCCTATTAAGCTTCTAAGTTGATATAGGGAACCCTTTTGAGTAAGATATCTAGAAGTGAGTCCTGTTGGACTGACTATGAGTCCTCTCTATCGTTGCGACTGGCCATGTGAGCCATTGCGTCGGCATACTCTGACCCTTATACCTCCAAAGCTCGCTTGAGATGCTTTCGTGGTGTGATGTTTGCGAGCGCCCTAATAAAAACTGGCCTTGGATGTCTTCGAAATAACTTTCCGGTTTTGACGCAACGCTAATCGACGCCTAATCTGGATTCACTGAGGGCTTATTTTTGGGCGCTACCGCCGTAGAGAAGCCTAAGTCGCCGTATCCTGCTCTGTAATATAGGAATATTCTTGGACATAGCATGAAGCCTGCCGAAAAGTGGATAAACTTCTTCTCATAAGGCCGAGAATGGGCTTGGCCCCTGCGGTATATCTCACATATCTGTAAGCAAGCCAGTTCCTGTCGTCTTAGGCCCCTTTATAGGTTTATTGATTGTCTAAATGACTTTCTAGTTCCGGAGATGAAGCTGCTTTTACGTCGCTGCCTGGACATACTTTTTACTACCTACCCTTTAGAGTCGATAACTGAGACGGATAGCGCAGCCTTGTGTTCAATCGAGACTGAACCTGTAGCCCGCAAAAGTCGATTTCGGTGTTGGTGGAAACCAAAACCTACTTACTTTAAGCGGTTAAGAGCACCGTCTCTAGAAGACTTGAGCTTCCAAAAGCCAGGAGAGTGCTGAACGGCCTGACTTTGAGAACTGCCTGCTTATCCTAATTTCTAATTTCTGTGTGTATGTAGGTCCTTTAGCTGCATAGGCTCACTCAATTTAGGCGGTCTTGCTATAATCCCAATATCTCCAAGGCGCAGCGACCTACTAGCCTAATTCCACTCTCGCATTAGTTCTTTTGCCGTCTAATGTTTATTGTTCCGGTTGAGATCGTATCGTATGATAATGAGGTAATATAGTAGGAAGGTAGGAAGGCGTACTATCACCTTTTCAATATATTAATTCTTAGCGAGTGCGCAATCATTGGTAACTTCATGTAATATAGGCTAGTGTTGGCCTTCTCTCGCAATTAAAGTTTCTCTTTTTTTCTGTCTATTGCATATGATTCTTTGCCGCTAAGAAGTATGAATTGTTTCCTTCGGCCTCTATTGATATGAATGAGGGTTAGGGAAGAAGATTTAGTTAAAACCCTGCATGCTCTCCTCGAAGTGTTAAGTCTGTAAATATTTGAGAGGACTACTGTCCTTGATGTGATGGCCGAGCCTAAGTCAAATGAATCTAACGCCGGCGAGATTATGGAAAATTCTTGCGACCAGAATGTGAATAAAAGCATCTGCTCACTACAAAGGTGCTGCACTAATTCGGTGGGCTCGTTGAGCAAATTAATTACCCTAAAGGCGACTTGGCGTTATCGTATGGAACGTGTGATTTAGTATACCATGCAGTACCCACCTACTGCTAATACCTACCTACTGCTAAGTAAAAAAAAATATTACCTATATAAAATACCTAATTTCACTTACACGCTAATTAACTAAAATTAAAGTAATTTATATAGAATAAAGCTTATTTTATTAATAGTTTTATAATAATTTAGATTATCGTATTATTTTTTAGATTACGAATGCGGTATAGTCGCCTATAGCTAATATAAAATTTTCGTAAATACCTCCTCCTTTAATCTACCTCCTCGACTCTTCATGGAATTTTTATCTATACTAGCCTTCCTTAATCGCCTTAAAAATGCCTCGAATGTCTTATAAAGAGAATAATATTATTAAGGCCATACTAGATATTATAGATAACGTACACGATAAGTGAGTGGATCAAACAAGTGAGTGGATCAAAAATCCTCACCCTTCTCAATTGAAAATTCTATAAAAACACAACAAATCATCTAATCAATTAAAACTAGTCGCTATACTCTTCTTCAGACATTGCAACAACTATCTGACATGTTCTTGCATTATGCCCCGTCTTGCCGCATCCTCCACAGCGCCTTTCCCTCGGTCGCCCCGACCCTCCTTGACCACCACTTCTCGACGATTCCCCCTCTACCTGCCCATCCACATTCATCTGATCAATTGCTTCCCTTGCTTCCCCCACTGTCATCACTCCTCCTTTCTGTAGTCGCCTCCGTTTTGCCCTCCGCCGCCGGCTTAGTGTCTCATTTGCCTGCTGAAGATCGCGGACCTCGGCCCTCAACAAGGCAAGCTCATGCATAGTTGCCTTTGTTCCCTTGGAAAGCGACTTTAATGCTTCCAGTATTGACTCTGGCGAGCTACTATGATGCCTTCTGATTCGTCTATCGAGGTATTCAGATTGAGATTCGGCCTCAAGGACCGTCTTTGGCGTCTTTGAAACCCAAGTAGTAGAGAGCCCGGCCTCCTCCTCAGCCGGCGTCGGCGTCCGTAGCTGCACATCAAGCTTCGAAATCACACTTTCCGGATCAAGAGGAATAATGCCAGCCCCTCTAAAAGCTGCCTTGATGTTTTTCTCTGTCATGGTGGCCTGAAATGCTGCATAAAATGCTGGAAAGAACTCGGTCTTGGAAACGTGGGTTATAGAGCATCGCATTAGATGCTCGATTTCTCGACCATATGCCCTCTTGAGCAGGCTAAAGTACCCGACGTCGAGGGGCTGAAGCAGATGAGACGAATGAGGCGGCATAAAGAGCGTAACAATCTTGTTTGCCTGGCAATATTTCTCAAACTCGAGAGAGTGGTGACTTTCGTGGCCGTCGAGGATCAAAAGACGATAGCGGCCAACCGATCGCGTCTTGGTGTACCGGTCAAAGTGCTTCAGCCACTCCAGACCCAGCTCATTATCGGTCCAGCCATTGGGAGACGTTGCAATGGCCCAATCGTCCGGGAGATTGCTGTCTCGGTACCAGTTGGCGAGGTGATACTGGCCCGCACCTATGATGAACGGCGGGATCGCCCAGCCTTCCGCATTGATCGCCTGGATGACAGTAATCCATTCCCGGCTTCCAGGCTGCACTAATTTCGGTCTTGCACGCCTTTCTGTGCCTGTGACGACCATTCCGTTTGCAATGACGCCCATCATAAAGCCAACCTCATCGAAGTTGTAGATATCGGCCAGGTCGATACCGTATTTGGCGATTGTGTTCTCCACGAGCTTGAACCACTTTCGAATCTCAGTTGGATCTTCGCATTTGGCCCTCTGGTAGTCGTATCTACGAAAAAAGCGCGTCTTGAGCTCATCGTGTCGCTTGACGAAGTTGGAAGCCCAGCGCTTGCCGACGGGTGGTGCGTTCCGGTCGGCGAGCAGTCGGTTGGCCATTTCTTCCACACCACGCAGTCGTGGGGGGAAACCTCGCGAGTCCAGGTCTAGGATGAACTGAACTATGATCTGTTCCTCTAGATCGGATAATTTGCGTGATTTGGGGGTGGTATCGCGCTGAGACTGAATGCCATTGTGTCGGCGCCATAGTGTACCATAACCAACTTTATAGGTCTTTGCAGCGCGTTTGAGACCTAGATTGGGGTTATTTTGATAGGCATGAAGTGCCAGAAGGATTCTTGCCTCATAATTTGTCTGTGACATGCTTGGTGGTGAAGAATCAATTGATCAAGTAGAGAGGGTGGAGGATGAGGGATTTTTGATCCACTCACTTGTTTGATCCACTCACTTATCATGTACGTTAATAGCCTCTCCTAGAATAAATCCGCCTAGAAATATAGTATCCCTTAGATAATTCTCTCGGCCCGATTAAGAGGTTTACTATTAATCTCCGAGGTCACTTAGCCTACCTAGCTATTATCTAAGTCTCAGGAGGCTAGATTAATTACCTAAATACTTTGATAAGAGGCCTTAGGCTATATTCCTTCTCATAGTTAAGTTCGCGCTACCGTCGCTACCCTCTTAAGGCAATAAGGCTAGGAAAGGCCTATTAGTATATACTAGGTAGCTAGGTTTATATAATGGTATCTATCTATAAAGGCAAAGATAAAGAAATATTAGGAGGCATCGAGATTTAATTCTTTTACCTTAATAACTATTAATTAATACTTTAATATCCGGGAGAGAGAATATAGCTAGATTAAGCCTAAGAATATAGCTAATATTAATAAAGGTAGTATTATAGCTAGATTTAGTGAGTATTTACCGCTTTTATTATTAAACTCTTTAATCTATGCCTAGCTTAGGCTTAGATTCCTTAGTTATTAGTAATAGCGATCCTAAGAGGAAGGCCTTCCTTAAAAGCCCATAGTCCCGCGCTTAGACTAGCTTTCTCGAAGCTATTATAGTAACTAGCCGTCTTCTAAAACCTAGGATTATCTTCAAAGGCAAAGAGCTTTAATAATAATAATTTATTAATAAGTTTAAGAAAATAGCCGACTAGTATTATATTATATCTAATAATAGCTAGATAGATAATTATATTATAGTTAAGTAGCTCAAAGAGGTCTATCTACCTTAGATACGGCCTAAAGATAAGTCTAATACTAGGCTTATTATATTAGATAGTCATAGAAGCTATATATCTATAAGTATCTACCTATTCTAAATCTTATAAATTAAAAATATCGCTAACTTAAAATCTAGGATAAATAGATAGCTATATACTTTTTAAATAATATATATTATTATTACCTACCGGCATATTACTCTTATAGCCTTTAGCCGCTAGATAATAGCATTTTTAATACCTCTAAGGCTATATACCGCAAAGAACTATAAAAGCTAATAAGCCTAACCGATTCTATGCCGGTAAATAAGATTAACTTTATTAAGGTATATACTAAAGCTAGGTAAATAGGCATAACGAAGAAAAATATACTCTTAGGCTAGAGAGTGACTAGAAATTGGCTAATTTTATGATGGAAAGCCCTTATATATCTAGAGATTTAATTAGATAAGAAGGAAACTATACCTATATTAGAGGGTCATAGAGATAAGTAACTTAAATCTAATAATACGCTAAAGACTAGTTACTATATTAGAGATCTAGGGAAAAATAAAAGCCCTTTAACTAGAAGATAGTACTCTATAATATTAAAAGGGTTTAAAGCATAAGAGTTAAAGATTACCTCGCTAAGCTTAAGAATAGCTAGTCTAAAGGAGGAAATCAACTAATTAAGCAGAGGCAAGAAGAGGAAGGCAATATTAAATCCTAATAAGAAGTTTATAATATTAATAGAGGCTTTAGTAGTTAGTAATACTATTTTAGAGCTAAACGAAGTAACTATAGAGGTAAATACTATTAAGGATATAATCGAGGTAGAAGGGATAATAAAGGATAAGAGCTTAAATTCGGAGGCGGAAGAATTACCTATTATATATACTTATATAGGCCATAAGGTAAAGAGACCTAGAAAATATTAAAATCTATTCGATTATAATTTAAATTCTATAAAGAAACTTATTTTTATTATTTTTATTAGGTTTTTCCTATGAGGTTAAAAAAGTATATTTTATATAGGAGAAATTTTTTTTTGCTTAGCAGTAGGTAGGTACTGCATAGTATAGCTATATAGGATTAATAGTTCTAACAGTTCTAACCTAGCTTCTAATCACCCTTCTTCTATTCAAAGTTTCTATAACACCGGTACCTCCCTAGGGCCTCCTGTATTATCCATCGCAGTAATAGTCTAGCCATTCCCGGCCCCAACTCGTCACTCAGAAGGCCAGGGAATTCTATGTATTTCGGAGCGGATTTGAGGACCCGAAGCATCATCTATGCATCGGAAACAGATGATAAATGCGTACTCGTCCGACTGTAGCTCTCCATTATCGATTGCCCGAGATATGGATTGCCCTCCAGTGTTTAAGCATACGTAGGGCATAGTAGCTTGGACTTTGTCCTTCCTATAACCGAACAACTTAGGTTGTGCTCCCGGCGTAATCTTGCTATAAGTATTGTTGCCGCCGACTGAATAGTGCCGCCCTCCCATGATATCGCCTGGATTTCTAGTATCATCTTGTAGAGGGCATAAGTGGACCCGGGGGGTGACGTCGTGTTTTTCACCATAGAGTTAAGGAAAGTGCGCCTAGACAATCTCGATGTGGCTCCCATTTAGGCTGCCGTATTTCCACTGAGGTGACTAGAGTCCCCGCTCGTCGACTTTTGTGCTGCCCGGTGGCGGAATGACGTTGCTATCCGTTAAAACTATGTCCGCCTTGCGGAGCCTTTTGATCCCCGCACCGTAGGTCGCGGTTCCATCCCTTTAATACCGAGTACGTGGCGTATCCGGAGCTCTCGAGCCGTTATTATCTCTCTCGATGGATTTCACGGGAAACCCTAACGGCTAGCCAAATGCGCAAAGGTTTCTCGTCTTTAAGGCTCTCGCCCCCGAAGCTCTTCTAGTAGCGTAAAGGGCTCCTAAGCCTCAGCATCAGACGTGGCATATTAGAGCCAATAAGGAAAACGGCATGGCCCTTCGAGGCCACTATGTTGATCCATTTTTCATGCTCCGGGATGTCTCTGATGGGCTTGATGTACTTTTTCGATGCTTTTGTGTGTTCTTTTTCGGGCAAGTTAACGAGAGCGAGAACATACGCGGCTTCGGAGGCCGATAATTGCGATAGAATTTCGTTAAGAATATGCGGGCATGTGTAATATATTTTACGGAATGAAGAAGGATTCGGTCGGAGCGTTATGTTTATATAATGTACCGATTAGGCCTGCGTCGAAAGAGAACGATAATGAAGGAGCCGGTTAAATGAGACGGGATACTCGTTCGAAACCAAGGGCCTCTATAAACTATATATGTGTTCCTATGACGACTTCCCCGTGTTATTAGTGATATCCCCTTAAGAGAATGCGCGTGATTTTTTTTTTTCTTTCGGGAAACCATGTGGTGAGGCATAAGGGACGGTTGGTCTCCTCGCGATCGGTTCGTGACCTAAATATCCTTCCCTATAAAACTTGAAGGCACTACTGATATGGTGAAACGAGACTAGGTAATGTATTTCGATCTATCGTATTACGGAAATAACCGTAAGAGGCTGTTAATATGCTGTATGCCACTCTGGTAGGCGAACGTCTTGATCTGTGATTAAGATGCCTTCTAATCCGGGCAAATGGAAGACCACGGGTAGGCTTCAGCGGGAATACTACGCCCCAGCAGTAGGCGCTCCACGTAGCTTCTGTCTTAACCTCTTTATCTGAGCTATTCCTACGTACCCCTAAATCCCCAGGGGAAGATTATGTCTAGCTTATGCGGAAACCTTCTCTTATTCGAAGATCGGAGAATATAGTTGCGGATCTTCAGAGACGAGGGATTTATCAATGAGTAAGTTCTGAATTGCCTCCACGGCCTCGGGGCTGTGACCGTTAGGTGTCGCCGGATCGCCGTCATTTCGGTTAGGCCTCACGTTTCTAATCTTCTAGATGGTATCGGTATATTATAAGCTAGCCTCAGGTTGTCTAACCCGAATTCTATTGGCTGGCTTCTGTATCTCCCCTGCTATAATAAGGTTTCTCAAGCTGCCTAACCCTCCCATCGTGACTTTGTCATCCTCTAATAGCTCTTTCGTAGGAGAGATACTTCTTCCCTTTTCATCCCCGATGATTGACGCGATGTAGGATACTATCGGTACCTACCAAAAGCCCGTGGCACCTCTTTTAATATTCTGGCTAAATTCTTGACATGGGCGAATTCGAGGTTAATAAGATACAATACTTATGAAGATCTCGCAGGGGCTAGATACTGTCACCTATGACATATGTAGTCCTCCCTGGCGTGCTAATAAACGGGGCGACAAGGCAGACATTGTCTTCTCCGTTTCGACGCATGTATGACGCATTAAGCGGAAGAGCTTCGCTCCGGGTCTTCTCTCTATCCCCCTGAGACCTTACGGTCTCCATTTTTAAGCATTAAAGTCCTCTACGAGCACAACCCTAGCACTTATGCTATAGGCAATACCGAAGCCTCCTAACTGCCTAAGAGCCAATTCGTTCGACTTCGAGACGAAAACGGAGGGTGTACAATCCACCAATCACGCTGCTTTTAGGCGCCTCGACTCCCGATAAGAATCAGCGCATCATTGGTTGAGCTACCACCAACAGTTTAGTTAGAGTGGGTCATATGGGACGAAAGCATCTCGAGTGTGTGGAGAGTGCGAAATGAGCTAGCTCAGTCCTATATCGTGAAGAATATTCACACAAGACAGTTAGCGATTGAAGGTCAGTTGGTCTTCTCTATGTATTTTTTGGGAATTGCAGAAAATAAGGCAAGGCAGTTTCTCAGAGGAAAAGAGCACGGCCAAATGGGACGTGGTTTCCGTGCTCTTGCGCGGGTTTCACACCGTAAATCTCAAGCACTCTTTCTCATCACAAAATAATAGAAAATATGTAACAAATGCGAAAGATCAATTAATAACCGTGAAAATCGTCTGGAGAAAAGAGCTCCCAAAACCCCTCATTTTTTGTTTAATATATATCTCTTTTTTTCGCCCGCGGCCCGCGGACGAAGGCGATGCTGGGAGAAGCTCGCAAGAACTTCCGGCCCCCTTTCTCTATATTAAGAAATTACCCTGTAGCCGAAATTGGCTGAGCGCTTTCCCCCAACTTAGCAGGAGTGAGGCCTTTTCTTGTGGTCTAGGTCTAGAAATGCGGCCCTACTATGGCGCGCGGGTAGTCACGAATTCTGTTCCGACCCTCCCTATGATCTTCCTCTTTATGTTTTTCCCTGCCGACTTAACTTCTATCTGGTGGCGTTCCTCGGTGTTCTCGAATAGAGGGAAGTTTCTAGTGATACCGAAGTGGTTGTAATCGCAGGTTGTGGAACATACATAGCATTGCATGTTGCCGCAATTTTTGACTGGATATTTCATCCTGTTGCACCCGTCCGACTTGACAAAGGGAGTTTGGCCTGTGTTCGTGATGTGTTAGTTACGGATACGTCAAAAGGTGGGATGGTTCGCATATTTGTTGCATTTCCGGATGAGTGCCATTGATTTTGCCTCCTCCACCCTCTGCGCATCGGTTACGTTTTGCTGGCCTCAGACGACACTAGCATAGCCCCATGGTTCATGGCTTTTGTTATGATAGATACGATAGCTGATGATTTCGCACGTAGGATCCTAGCAATAGAAGTTCATACTCGACTCAATAGGGGGGTAGATAGTAGCGAAGCCGCAAAATGGACACTAACTTAGAGGCTTAATACTATTCCTAGCAAGGAGTTCCTGGACTTCTTTGGCCTCAATTCGGTCTAGTGCCTTCTGAAGAGTATGGTCAATGAATTTCTTCCACTCCTATTGTGAGAATCTAGCACCATAGGGTTTTGTGGGCATGCAATGAATCTTATGCTGCGCTCTCCCGACGATAGCTTCGGCATTGCGATAAGCATACTGCACGCAAAACCACTTAGTATGGTCAGCCAGCACGCCAAATAGAATCAAGAACAGCACTCAATATCACTTACGTGGCTTTGCTCGGTATTGCAGCGTGTCATGCCAGACCGAGGAAAGCTCCCGAAGCAGCACTCACACTCAGTCGAGTTTTCATTACTTTGGGGACCGGGACTGATGCGCTATTTAAACCCCTCAGTTGCTAGGCTAGTAATTCTACTCCGTAGCCTCTCCCTTCGTTCCTCTCTAAGAGCTTGAATCGTAGCGTGTATCTTTCTCCTGACGGTGTGGTTGATCTTCGTATCGATCAGGCAGGGTTTAGTTCTCCTGCTAGTATTCGCGGCAGTATACTTCACCGCCCATGGCGGATTATCGACGTACCAATAGTCGACCATGTCGCTCAGCTCGAGGTAATATCTCCTGAGGTCGCAGTTATTTGTATCTAGCGCTTTTTGGATGTCTTTAGGAGGCACGAAATGAAATTCCAGGCTGATCAAGTTCTTTCTGGCGTGAGGTTAGCGCCCGTGGCTGCGAGAATAGAAGATCAGGGGTTCCTAAGAAGCCTTCATTGTAGATCCAAGATGCTCACATACACTTTTATTCAAGTCTGGCCGAGCTAGGCATATGCTGGCCCTCGTATTGCCGTTTGGTGCCCATTGTCAATGAGGTTGTAAGCCAGAGAAATTATCGATTGTTTATATCTCTTTGCTCTAAGGGCAAAATATGGAAATATAGTAATGTATGAGAGAAGACTTAGTGTTTCAGAGACTGTCCCAATCGACGTTCTTTATACCGTAGCCCTTATACGACTTGAGTCCTCGGATGAGACAGGGTGACGCCAAGACGATGTATAATCCCGAGTACCACACCCTCATAGACCTGCCCCAAACTCATGTGGAAGGTATCAAGCCCAAGCGCGAGGCGTACACGTTCCTGGAGGCTCATGCGATGATGTGGTCCCAGAGATTCGGCCACGAGACCCGATCGTTCCCAGGTGAAACTGATAGCGCGGTTCGAGCGGATGCTGGTATGTGCTCGAACCCACAGTATTGTTGAGTTCTGGGAATAGCAACCGGGAAATTAGAGAGTTCGTTCTCAGATCATCCCGCACAATCACTTCTCTCTTCTCGCTCTTGTACGGCACACTACCTCTCTCGTTTTTTCACAAAATGGGAGTACCCACTTGAAGCCTCACCCGAGGTGGATCCGATTTCAACGTCGAACGCGGTCTAGGGCAACCACGCCATCTCTCCTGGACATCTCCTACTGTCCTGCTAGGGAACACTTCCTACAAAACGGTAAGGCTGGCTCTCGATGAGGAGAGTATCTTGGCCACTAAAGAAGCATGTATACTATAGACGAAAGTTTTACGTGTGTTTACGAGTCACCAGAACGCCTGGCAACTATCATGGGAACAAGGTCTAGCCCAACTTTTGCCCTCCTTCAACTACAGTGCCTCTAAGGATTTGACTAAGGCACAAAAGAACCTTGCGTGCTACGAACACCCGGATATTGAGAATGAAATCGGGCATCGAGAGGACTCCACCGCCCGCCTCCCTCGGCTAGGCATATCCCGTTGGTACTATCAAGTGGTGTGTCTGACTTGTCCATCCGGATTCCACCCCCAACGCACACACATTTACACACGGTGTCCACTCTGCCTCATTTGGATCAAGATGTCCGGGGACAAGGCACAGTGGGGGAGAGACAACGTATACCTCTGAGGGTGTGGAGCCCAAGCTCGGGCAAGTACCAGAGTACCAGGATTGGAATATCCTGCTTCGGCGCCAAAGACATAACAGGGGACCTTAATCGTCCATTTAATCATCCGAGGCCGGGGACATTCTTTAGCTTCTCTGTATTGACCAAGTGCATACTGGACCTTCTTTTTATTGCTGCTTTCTACCCGAGATAACGGACTGCCATACTATCACTGTCTTGATCGGATTGGATATGGCCAACCACCACTAAAGTCTTACTTCCGAAGAAGCCTCCAGCTTGAACGGCAAGCTACAGCAGGACTTCGCTGCTAGGAGGCTTTCCTGTCTCATACGCGACGAGTATCTAGAGGATATTATGTAGCACAGAGAGTATATGGAGGTATGTTAGCGTATTAAGCCTATCTTAGCTGTGACTGTCACTGATTAAGACTAGCATAGGACTCTTCCCGATGCTGCTCTCATTGATATGCTGCGAACTGTACAACATCAACATGTTTATCCGTATGGAGCGAGATGTGCTTGATGCTCTTGATTGGGTCATTGGGCACCCGACTTTAGACTCATTTTCGTAATAATTGGTGGAGGAAGAGGGAGAGGACCAAGAGGTTGAGCACATGGCCGCCTATCTGCGCGAGATCGCCCTCTACCACCGGGATTTCGTTTCAATAAAGCCTTCGATTATGGCCCGAACCTCCCTCGCCCTTGCACGAACTATCCTTAGCCGGGCCGAAGCTAGCGACGGAGAACGGGATTAACCCGATTATCTAAAGCTGTCATACCACCTTCACAACCCTTCACCCACTCTGGTCCTCAAGTACTCGACTAGCCTCTTTTCCCGGGTGTCACAGAAGCTTACCAAGTTCGTGGCTAAGAAAGCTATCCTCACCTGCCGAGCTATTAATCCTACCATGCCTCATATCGAGCACACCAATAAGTACGCAAGCGACCTCATTAGTCCGCCCTAAGAGCGCCACGTAGAAGCCCGAGGCTATGTTGGATACTCCACTTTTCTTTAATATACTGTGAAATAGCACGTTCAGTATAAGACAAAAATGGCGTAGCAACTCAGATGGTATGCACCCACGGCAAATGTTAGACATCAAGTTCAAGACAAATTAGATACAGCTGTCGCCCCTCTGAATAGTGCTTTTGTTTTCGCTGTGTGTAGTTGTAGTGTAAGTCGATTCGTTGCCAGGTTCAAGCCAAAGCCAATGTGAGCACCTATTCGTGTTGTGACAACGATCTCACACCTTGATACAGCAAGGCACAACGGAAAGTACGCATGAATGACACGAGCTTTTGGGGAGTTGGTTCAAGGGGTTGGCGAGAGTATGTAGGAAAGGCTTCCACTGCCCAGCCAGTTACACTAGGAGGCTCTGGTTAATCTACTTCACGAGGCGTTCTTTCCATCTCATCCCATCGTGCCCCTGCTTGAACAGTCATGTAGGGATTCCACCAACAATCAGTAGTTACCGGCGACATCTTGGCTAAATTCTTGGCCCACCCGACCGCAGTCTTCTTTCCAAGTCAACGATCATGATAGCTTAAATCCATTTGTTCAATAAAACGGAGCACAGGAGGCGGCATGTTCAACAATTATGCAGAACGAGGGCGGAATCTTGGGAAAGTATAGGCATCGATACGCTAAGCACGGAGAGACAATGCTAGTATAGGTTACGAAGATGAGCACCCTGTTACAGGACTGAATTGAAAGGGTAGGTTTAGGAGGAAATGGCACACCAAGAGGTGTTCGTGAATACGCCACTATGATCCCCTTGCTCAGCGTAAGGATCCCGCATGGATATAAATGAACATATGGAGAACATAAAACGTAAAGTGGGCTAGGAGGTTTAACTTTAGGCACCTAGGTTCCAGTAAAAGGGAGTAGCGGAGGGAACCTCCACCAGAATGCGGAAAGAGGCAGGCGTAGGGCGCAAGGTAGACCGCACATGGGGAGGAAAGATGGCTTAAGAAATAGGCCATAGGCCGTCACCAGGCGTTGGATACGCCCTCAATCCTGCCGCGTCCCCATGGCTCATTCCTCGTCGCTCACATGCTGGCCTTTCCTATGCCTAGCGTTGGGAATATTTAATCTACAGCCTCTTCTCTCTTACCTGCCGTCCGCACTCCATCTACCGCCGAGTCTATTACCAGCTTAGATCTTTATAGCACCGGCTTACTTTTACGCTTTCAGCTTCTTATAGATCCCACCTCCTCTCCTTAAATAATTCGTCCCCTTACCACACCCCTCTAATTTTGGCCTATCAATCACGTCCATATACAGCTTACCAGCAGAAGACGGCAAATAGAGGCTCAACTCATCGCATCAGTCGTGCCTAGGCTGTCTAGAGCTTCGTCGTTGATAGCAGCGACGATATCGAATCCCGCAGCGCCTCTCCACTTCAGTTTCCACTATCAACCAACTTCGACCTCTCTCATAATGTCCATATTTATAACACAAACCGCCTGCGCCTACACGGCAGCTCCTCCTTCTCCTAAACAGCACTCGCGTACCAGCAGTGCTTTTAGCACTTCTGCCGAGCCCGATGAGGACTGGACCAAGATCTCTGACCTTGTCGAGCGTCGGCGGATACAGAACCGCATTGCTTAGCGTAACTACCGTATGCTACCCCGCTTGCCGATCCCAAGGACCTGACTTCCACCCGGCTTGACTCCCGATGATATCTCTAACCCAAGTCTAATTATCAGTAAGAGCTAACGCCCATGGCCTCCTGCAGGGAAGAAGCTCAAGCAACGTCTCGAGGATCTTGAGCGCCGCGCTGGCTTTTCTGGTGATTTCGAGCCCAAAGAGAAGCCACATAGGATCACAAAGTCAAGACGATCCACCTCTAAACCCTGGAAGCCATAACCTTGTACCGCCGCTAAGCCTGTCGTCTCTCAAGGCTAGTTCACCTACCCAATGGAGCCTGCTGATGGTCTTTTCCCCGGGATCTATAGCCCTCGAGCCCATTCCGACAGCCCCACTCAGTTCGCTTCCTCGACTCATTCAGCTTCCGACAACGACCCCGCTCAGGCTTACCCAATAATGGCCATCGGTGACGCCTATCACAACTATACCCTCGCTTTTATCGTCCCCATAATATTTCCCTCGATCATTCACGCTAGCGCCGCCATCGAGCGCGAGCCCTACCAAGCTAGTAACGAGCTAGCCATCTCCGCAACATATCATTACACGCCTCCCATAAGTTTTAATGCCCCTTACCCCTACGACCAGCCAAACTTTCACATAAGTTATGCCTATTAAGCCCCCCTGCAGGGCAGCTTAAGACCAATTTACTAATACAATTCGTAGGCCCCTGACTCTTCCGATCACTCCTCCAACTGCTCAGAGGCTAGTTGCGAGTATCCTACCGAGCCTCTATCTATGCCAAACTAGCCCGGCCCGATTTACCCCCAAAGGGAGACCGAAGACTATATCTGCAATTTTCACCTGAATCTAGCTAAGACGACGACGATGACTAAGACATGGTTTGCTATCGATTATGAGCATGGCCAAATGTAACTAATGGAGTACGGGAAATGCTTTGAGCGAATAGATAAGCGGCGGTGGTGTTGGGCAGATGTTATCGAGCTACTGGAGGAATTAGATGACGAAGGTGCAATATAATGTATGGATGACGCGCTATCTGAGTTCTAAAGTTGTTACGATTGGCTTATTGCAAAACTGTGAGGCAGTGAATTAACTAGAAGATCCTAGGTTTTGATCTTGCTTGGGCTGACTGATGAATGCTATCCGGCAAGGCATTGGTCCTAAGGCACTCTATGTTGAACCTGATGTTCGTAAACGGGATGTAGGTGCGACGATCTAACCGCCATATTAATCCGTCTTGGTGAGGAGCCGAATGAGATAACCGCAGTGGTTGGGTTTGCTGGGTATGGAATCTCTTTTCCGGTATTAAGTACTTCAGGTTGTTCTGCCTTGATATGCACGAAGAGCAAGCAGTATTAGCTGACACCAGAACATAGGAAGGCCATCGTCTGAAAAGTAACGGCAAAAAAATAGGTCTTCTGTGTTATCCTTTAATGCCTCTGCTGGCTGGGCTGAATTTGATGAAGCTGATTAAGGAAGGGCTAGCCCAGGCGAGTCGAGCCGTTGGCTTGTATAGTCCCGTCATCTATGTCGCGAAGTGTGCTGTCGATGTAATTCCTAGTAGCACTGAGATGTAAAATGTGGCAAATTGCGCGATGGACGGCAAGAAGCTGAATAGACGGGGGGTTAATACCGGTGTATGTCTGTCTACTTTTGCTCCGTCGGTCGAGCTGCCGTATAAAATAACCTACTGTGCTAGCGGCAAAAGTGTAAAGTACCCTATAGTAGGTACTAAGGCAATTAGGTTATGCGGTTGCGGCTGCGTGGTGGGCATAACGTCGAAGGTCTAAACTTCTCTATTGGAGCTCATTGAGATTCTCGGAAGCAGATACTTAGCTACCGAAGAATTCAATAACACATAGCTTCGGCTCGCATGGCGGCCACATAGTAGCTTCGCCGTTATCAGAATTTCGCCTATTCATTTAGCTGCTTCATTAGGAAGGAGTAAACTTGTCGAGTTCTTTCTTAAGTAGGGCGTTCTGGTGGACTATAGCGCATAAAGGGCCCCCTTGGAATCGGCCATCTTCGCCCATTAGGTTGAGACTATTAAGGTGCTTTAGCCGCCTCACGTCCTAGTGAAAGCCCCCTTTATCTAGCAGCATCCGTTGGTTCGATAGAATTGGTTGAGCTTTTTCTGGCCTGGCCAGATATTGATACCTACCTGGAAAATGGTAGCTATATTGTCTTTGCTTATGCTTTAACTACGCTAAGTACTAACTGGAGAAAAACGGTTGCTTCCCTGGAAAAAAAGGGGGTCAAGCCGACGCACACGGATCTTTGCAAATGGTTTCAAGGAAGCTATACCCGAAGAGACTAATGGCCTTCACTACTGGAAATTCGAAGCAATATTTAATCTAGTAGCTTTTGATACTGTGATAAAGATTATTCACGGAAAGAACCGCGATATTTCTCGAACAGTGAATTTAGAGCTTCTGGCTGAGATGGCTGCCGTTATCGATGATTTGGAATGTCATGATAACATTTGGTTCTTTGCTAAATGATGGCCTGCCGATCTAAAATATATTGCTCTGCCAATAATATGCAAAGAGATCGCTCAGTTTATTCTCATTTCGTTTGTTTTCAACGACCCCATCCTATTCGAAGCCTTTACCAAGATAGCCATAATAAGCAATTTGGGCGCCGTACTAACGTTTGATCTTCCGATACCTACGTCCGAAGGCCCTTAGTAGGTTACTAATATCTTGACTCGCTACTTAAGTAAAATAAGTATTAACTAAACTAGAATAGATTGAGAAGAGGAGGCAGATTGTTCTGGGCAAGTTGATTGATGATCTATATTATCTAGAACAACGATTGCTTAGCCAGGAGCTGGGCTGTAGCTTTGGATGTAGATCTATGTTGCTTGGGACATTGATTCAAAATATGAAAGCATGCTCTTTACACTCGCTATGACTACCTTAGCCGTTCTTCTCTTTAATTATTAGAGGGACTGTCGAGTCG